TCACACCAAGGAAGGAGAGAAATTGTGTTGGGGGTATTAATACATAACATGCAACAAGAATGGTAGGAAATTAAGGAAAAATATAGGTGATGAATGTCCAGAAAAACTTCCCAACAGCAAGATCTATCAAACAATGGAATAATTTTATTAATTTATTTCTATTGTAGTACTACCTAAGAGCTTCAGTCATAGAAGAGGCCCCCCCTTGTGCTAGGCGCTGTTCAAATACAGAAGAAAGAGACAGTCTCTGCCCCCAAAGAGTTTACAATCTAAATGTTAGACAAGAAACAGATAGGCAAGCAGAAGAATACAAGGAAGCAATGAGATAGTATTGGTCAACATGAAAGGCAGTCGCTTCAGCACCCCAGCAGCCAAGTAAATGGTAGAAACCCCTTTGCTTGAGACATTTAAATATGAAGTCGATATCGCAGTGGAAATCAGACTGTAACAGAGCATCCTTGGTGTTGGTGCTGGATTGGAGGGAAGAAATAAGGAGTTCTCCCCCTTTGTGTGCCCCATGAAAAAAGCTGGGCTGGTCAGAGTCCTTGTGTTCTGGAGAGCACAAGAACTGCTTCATCCATATCATCAAGGCCACAGATTGGCCCAAAAAGCTTGGGGAGGAAGCAGAACTGTGGTATTATCGCCCACATCTCTGCATGTGCTCCTGGAATTAAGTATGCTGTGGGGAAGCTGGGTGCACCATTCCCAATGACAGTGCAGCTTCTGCACTTCAGCTGACATACCCAGAAACTACAAGAGGGATTGTGCCAAAGGCTTTTGAGGTAGTGAGGCTCTGCATTGCAACCTTGAGGTTGTATATGACCAATTTATTCTACTGCAGAGAAAAGTCCTGCACTGGCAGAGAGAGATTAACTGATTATTATTACATACTCTTGGCTGAGTTCCAACTGCACCCAGCTCTATACAAGACATTAAGGAAGACACAGTCCCTTCCTTAAGGAGTTTATAATCTAAACAGATAAAATTGGGCACAATAGCAAAACCACAGTGGAAAACTATACTCCTCGTCTTTCTTTTGGTTGGGTGTGTTTTGTAATGGGGCTGTGACAGTACATTGCTGACATGTTTAGCATTAGTGGGCCTTGAAGAAGAATTGGTCTTGAAGGAAGTGAAGAGAAGGTGGGAGTCTGGTACACTGGAATGGGCACGGGAATTCCAGATGAGGACCCAGTGGGTCCTTTCCCACTCTAACTTCTCTGATTTTATACTTCCAACATGGTGAAAATACATCTGCCACTGGCTGCTGCATCAAACTGCTTGTGACTCTAGTTATGTAACAGTGAGGCAAAGATCTTCCCTGTGTCTGTGGAGCATCAAGACAATTTTTTCCCTAAAGTTTAAAGGAGTTTAGGGCAGACACGTGTGATAAATCCTATGAAATATTTCAGGAAATTAATCAAGTTGCCAGATCATCTGACGCAAACAGAGCTTTATTCTTTATGCAGAACAAAAACCCATGAAACTATAGGTTAATCTAGACGACTGAACTTCCAAAGAGAGGCAAAATTCTAAAAACGTGTCTCTGGGATGTTGCAAACATGAGAATGGTTTGCATGGGAACCTATATGAAGAGTGTGGAGAAACCAAAACCAAAAAAACCCCCACCACACCCTAAAATGAAGAACAAACAGTTATGAGGGAACGTATGTCATATCTGACTAACGTATGCAGTGCTATTGTAGCCATGTTGGCCCCAAGATATTAGGGAGACAAGAAGGGTGAAGTAATATCTTTTACTGGACCAACTTCTGCTGGTGAGAGAGATGAGCTTTCGAGCTTACACAGAGCTCTTCTTCAGGTCTGGGAAACTGACTTAGGGCACGTCTGCACTAGCAAGCTTCCAGGGGCACAATTGTACTGATGCAGCTGTGCCGCTGCAAGACCGCTTGTGTAGCCATTCTATGCCGATGGGAGAGAGCTCACCTGTCAACATCATAAAACCACCTCCACGAGCAGCAGCAGCTATGTCGGAGGGAGAAGCTCTCCTGCCAACATACCACTATGCACACAACCACTTATGCTGGTGAAACTTATGTCACTCGAGTGTGCTTTTGCAATACAAGGTGGAACAGACAGTTTAGCCTAAATAGTTAATACATATTTCCAGGGACCATTCAAGGTGAAGTGGCCTGAAAACATCCCTCCAGACACAGAGAGGAAAGGAAGGGACAGGTGGGGTGGGGTAGGGTAGGATGTGGAGAAGCAGCTGGGGTGCGGTCGTTAGTGGGTTACAGATTGTTGTAATAAATCATAAATCCAGTCTCTCTTTTCAGTCCATGATTTTTAGTGTCTAGCAAAGTTATGAATTTAAGCTCCCAGGCTTCTCTTCTGAAAGGGCTGTGCAGCTTTCCTTTGAGGATGAGGACTGATACGTCAGATACAGAGTGATCACTTTGTGAAAAGTGTTCATCCACGGGTGATGACGTGTTTTTGTCTTTTATCATCTTCCTCTGTGAGTTCATTTGAGAGTGTAGTGATTGTCTGGTTTCACCCACATAGTTGTTATTGGGGCATTTAGTGCACTGGATGAGGTACACCACATGTTGAAATAGGCATGTATAGGACCCACGGCTCTTGAAAGGTGGGTTGTGGGCAGGGTTGGATCATTACACCAGTGGAGAGATGTCTGCAGGTTTTGCATCTGTTGTTCTGTCAGGCTCTGGTGCCACTTTGAGTTGGTGTGTCTGGTCTGTGGGGAGCTTACTTCTGCTGATGAACTTGGAGAGGTTGGGGGTTGTTTGAAGGCCAGAAGAGGGAGTTCAGGAAAGACTTCTTTCAAGATGGAGGTCCCCATCGAGTGTGAGTTGTAGTTGTTTGATGATACCCTGTATGGGTTCCAGTGTGGTGTGGTAGGTGACAACTAGGGATGTGGGGGTGGAGGGGGTTTTATTTCTGTATTGAAGCAGGTTGTCTTGGGATATCTGGGTGGCCCATTCCATGATGTGATCTGCTTCTCTGGAGTGTCCTTGTTTCGTAAAGGCGATGTTGAGTGTTTTCATGTGTATATCCTGGACTTTCTCCTCGGAACATATTTTGTGGTATCTGAGTGTGTAGCGGTCTATAACAGATTTCTTCGTGTGTTTGGGGTGGTTACTGGATATATGAAGGTAGTGAGCAATGGGTTTCAAATATATAGTTGCCTGTAGGGTTCCATTTTTGAATCTGATCATGATGTCCAGAAAGTTGATGCTGAAGTGGGCATGTTCCAGAGAGAGTTTAATAAGTTTATTACAACAATCTGTAACTCATTAACAATCCCCCCCACCCGCCAACTGCTTTCCATATGCCCCCTGCCCCTTTCCTTTCCTTCTTTTGACTGGAGAGCTGTTAATGGCCACTTCACTGTGAATGACACTTTGAAATGTGTTAACTACCTAAGCTTCACTGTGTATTTAGCAGTGATACTCTGAGTTAGTTTCCCAGACCTGAAGAAGAGCTCTGTGTAAGCTGGAAAGCTTGTCTCTCTGGTCCAATAAAAGACATTGCCTCACACATCTTGCCCTCGAATATCTGACCAAGGCATTCTTCTTTTTTATTTTAAAGTCTAATAATATCATTTTCTTAAAAGGCAGATAAGATTTGAGAAAAGAAAAGAAAGGACCCTGTGAGCATGTGCCTTTCATATAGTACTCTAAAGCAAAGTCTACACAATGTGCAGAGTCATACACTCCCTGCACTTTGGCGTTAACACCAAATTAACAATAAGATAAAGTTCTGCTCAAACCTTCCGCGGACATGGCTGCCCCTTGGGTTCCTGGTTTAGGACTGCTCAGCCAACACCCTAGATCCATTCCCACTAGAAAACCACTCGTACCTCCCTTATAACTAGATGGGATAATGGGTCACCTGTCTCAGTGAGTGGGCGGATCAGGAAGAACCCACTAAACCCTTTCCCTGCTACTAAAGTGGGAAGTTTCAAGAATACAGAGCAATCCTGTTACAGAATCATAAATAAAGAGACTTAGAGTGTGATATTGTGATGAGAAAGAAGCTGTTCCCAACTGAATTATTATATTGATTTGTTATATAACATCACATTTGAACACGTCAAAGCTGGAGTCAGATCATTTTTATTGCTCTTCACATGCAAGAATGAAATCTAAGAATGAAACCTGTTCACCTATGTACTCTTCTAGAAATATCTGCTGGAAGATCGTGAGTGTATATAATCCATCACCTACATAAAAAGACCATCTAAGTAGAAACTGTAACTAACCTCACATTTGCATTAGGTTGATACAAACTGTTTATAAAATTAATTAGTTTATCCAGTGATAGATGTAAAATAGTGCATTAAAAATCTTTTTAAAACTGGTGCAGCATCCCTGGGATTTGTTAGTTCATCTTAAAGATTTTCAAAGGATATAGTCAGGATTGGAGAAACTCAAAATGTAACTGGTCATTTTTATTGGTGTATATTGGCTAAATACATATAATTCACCTATATTCTTTTTCTACCATAAATGTTTCCATGCTCTGATTTCTAAGATAAGTAACGTCAATGGTGGCAACCCAGGGATTCACAAGCAACCCTTCAATAACAAGTCAAGGTACATGCAAGGAAACAGATTTAGATTTCAAGACACAAAGGTGATCCTTTTAAGCAGCAGAGAAGGATAAATGTTTAAGGACCATATGAAAGACATTTTGACAATGTCTTTTTAAGTGAGCATGGACTGCTGCTGACTTATGTTAACTTAACATTCTTTCAACAAGCTGTATTTTTCTGAAACCCCACAATGAAAAGTGAAATTGTAGATGGCTAAACTCATGAAGGCTCCAATCCTGAAATTTATCACTGGGATTCTTCAGAAAACACATGTCTGACTGGGGCCATGTTAGTGTTCATTGATCATCCTGTAGTTCATGATTACAAAACATAAGAGCTCAAATCCTGAACATACACCTCTGCAGTCCCTGGAAGTTGAGCATGCTCAGAAGCTCCCAGGATTTGGCCCAAGACTAGCAAGAGTACTCACAAGATGTAGCAGATAACTCCTATACTCCACATATCTGTGGCATATCCAATAGGTTCATAGTTTATAACTTCTGGAGCCACAAACTCAGGTGTCCCAAAGAGAACTTTCAGAGAACCTGTACTTTCTGTGAAGAAAAAAAGAGGAAAACATTAACGGTTGTATATTTTTTGAAAGTACAATTAACAGCTTGCACTCACATTTATAGGTTAGTTATTAAACTCCCTCACCAAAAAGGTAAATAATTGACTGAGCTGCTACTAGCTTGGCCAGCTCATGTCTTCCTGTGCTCATGAACGAATAACAAATAATAATTCTTCTGTGCTAAGCACCACAAATGCACTCAGCACTGCACAAGACACACAATAAAGAGTTCCTCCCCTGAAGAATTTGCATTCTAAATAAGACATACACAGGGTTACCAGCACACACTGGGAAGATATGAGATGGGCCCAGCTAGTGATGTTTGGATTCAGATCTGACTTTCCCAAAAAGTTTGTGGGTAGGTGGGCCCATCTCTGCTTAGATAGCTCCACAAGAGCATGTCCAGCAAAGAATACAGATGCTAGATTAGAACTGGAGGACTTTTCATTGCCCTTATCAAAGCCTTGGCAACTTGCAATGCAAAGCAAAGTGAATCAGTAATAAATGCAGAACAAAAAAAATTGTTGGCATCCAAAAATATTTCATTAAGTGAAAACAGTAGAGAAAAATCAGTGCCTTGCCACTGGTGCTTGTTTAAATTTGAAAGATGCCCAGGTAGAGAATGAGAAAGAGAGAGGGGAAAAAAGCACCACACATGACAGATGTTAGGTCGCTTAATGCCTTACTGGAAGGTGCTCAGATACTGCAGCGATGAGCATGGAACAAAACCTCTACAGAATAGAAGCGAACATGTGCCATATTGCCAGCAAAAGCAACAACCGCGCCACTATTTGTACTACACATATGTCCAGTTTCAGATAACATTTCTAGAGAAAGGTGTGAAACACCATGCAAGCCATTTAGTAGGGAATTATTAGGAAATCCAAATGTGCCCATTTTAGCCCATGTCCATTCCAAACACCTGGAGAAGGAAGAAGAGGAAAGAAGCAAGAGTGCAAGTGGGGAGGCAACCAACAAGAAGAAAGTGGGCAGGGAACAAGGATGTCCAGGAATGGAAAAAGGAAATGATCAAGTGCAAGTGGGCCCAAAGGACCAAGAAATTATGTTTACTGGCTATACTGGAGCAAATGGATTTAGTTTGGGAAACCAGCTCTTGTTCAGACTCCAAGATAACCTGGGCAATCAGTGCTTGGTGCAAATGAGGTCCGCTGCCCTACTATAGTTATTATTATTTATTAATTGTATGAAGGTAACACCTAGGTTGGGACCCCATAATGCTAGGTACTGTACAAATACAGAAGGAGAGACTGTCCCTGCCTCAAGAGATTACAATCTCAATAGAAAGACAGACAAGGGATTGGAGGGGAAAAAGATGTAATAGACTCCAGTCCATTAATGTTAAAATAATCATGGTTACAAAGCATTGCACCCTTATAGCAATTAAAACAAAAACTTAAAAAATTATCAGCAGGTTAATCGTTTACTAGACTACAACTGGACTTACTTGACCATCAGAACAAAGCGCTAATACAGAATATATTTATTTGCCAGAACCAGGTGGTAGACACAATTAACCACATTTTACTATCATTCCTGCATGATCATCAGTTCATATGGTTAAGAAATTATAATTAATTTGACCTTCTACAGTTCCTTCCATCCAAAGATCTCAAAGCACTTTACAAACTCTAATCATACAACCTTTCAACACCCCTTTGAAGCATTAGTATCCGCATTTTATAGATCAGGAACCTCCAAAGCACAGAGAAGTTAAGTCATCTACCCAAGGATCACACAGTAAGCCTGTGACAGAATCAGTTTTGTGCTAATCACGAACCATCCTTTTCTCCTGCAAGTATACACTGGGCACTACCATGGTGAACTCACTCACATTCCCCTCATCTTGTCATTTTACACACTACAAAATCCTTTCTTCCTCTTCTCATAAATGGTGATAGCAAGCTAATTCAGGAAACCTTGCAGTAACAGAGACCTCCAGGGCTATCCAGTGCAAAGGATGTCAGTTTCTAGTGACTGAAAAGCCACATACATTTTGCACAGAGGGCCAATTTTTTACAAGCTTGGTACATAGGAAGAACCCTGGCTTCGGCTACCATTTAAGTGAGATCTAATGCTGAAGAATTAGTTGGAAACTGGCCTTTTTTTCTGCATTGTGCATAACTAATTGATTTTCAAAAGCAATGTCTTAGCACACACACACACACACATCCTATGAACCCACAAAGTTAATCTTGAACAAATTTTTTACATGAGCTTCTAAGAACACCAAAAAAGGTTAGGAAAATATCCCACTACGTCTTTGGTATTTCCTGACAATAGAATAAGAGAACTAATTATCTGCATAAAATGACTATGGAAGGATGACTGGTTTTAACTAATTTAAGTTAGCTCAAATACTGAAAGCTAAGATGCACTACATTTTTACTGGTTAGAAAACAATTAAAAAGAAAGTTATAATATTATATTGCAAATCGATGCAGTCTCCACTTCCATTCTCTTTATGAGGGCTTTTGATTGAGTAAAGTCTGCCGGATTAGAATAATAGATTGCAGTTCTAACAAGGGTCCTAACCCCCCTTCGATTAAAGTCAGTGGGTGTTCCAACATAATCATAAATAGGTGCATTAGAATGCTCACAATCTGTCAAAGTAGGCAATTGCAAAGAAGAATGAACTAAACAAAACCATGTAACAAAACAACCTTGAATGGCTTAGAGCTGTTGCTAATAAAAAATGTTTTTCTTTTACTGGAAGAAGTCTGAGCTGAATGTTGTGAAAGTCTTACTGATCAGTAAAGCACTATTTTCCTTCATCTGGCCTGTTTAGTATGGTAGTCTCTCTTTGTGGGAACTGCTACATATGCCACATCGTGAATTTGGACAAAATTGCTCACAGTTCAGCCATGGATTAACACCAGAGGTGAGTTTGGTTCACAGATGAGAAAAAAGGCAAATGCTCATAATGCCACTTTGCAAGCAAGAGCATGCACAAATTAATCTACGTTTTATGAAATCAAGATAAATTCTGGTGTCCATGGCTACCATCCTTCTATGATTGAGAAAAATGTAGCATAATTGCAAATGTGGTATATGTGACATGATTGCAGCAATTCACGTTTTTGCATCACACTGTGCAAAATACAGAGTAAATGCAATATGCTTTCCAAAAATCCAAAAACTATTTACATGAACACCACATTGAGAAGAGGGAATCCAGTCTCTCTTTTGGTAATCTTGGGTTAAACTAATTGTGATCTGAAAGTGAAAGCTACCTGGAAAAGTTACTGTAAAAATGCCATTCTGGGGTTCCATGTTTACTGTTTCTCAATGATCAAATCTGCTGACTTCACAAGTAAATGGGTTTCCTAGCTGCTAGTTGGAATCTGACAGTCAAGTTGGAGTCTCTCTCACTTCACCAACAAAGACTTCAGTATTGGAACTTAATTAACACTTCTGCTGATGATTCTTGAACCAGAACAAAACCCAGCTCACCATCCCAGAACTTTGTTTACTCTATAGTGCTAACAGGAGAGTAACTGCCAGTCAATTTTTATTTCAGTGAGTAAAGTAAGCAGATTGGTACCTTTTTATTCAACCACTTTCACATAGTCTCTTTTCAGAGCATAGCCACACCTTAAACCTGGAAGGCATACTTGTTCATTCCTAATCAGATTAATACATTATTTTTGTTAAGAATTCTTATTATGTTTGCACTACTCTGTGACTTAAGACAGAAAGGAAAGGGAAGGATGGATACAGAGATGTACTATTAAAGGCAGAATACAATAATTCCAAACATTACTTGCACACTAATCGCTTGTTTTGTTTTTTTGTAAAGGAATCATGTGTAATTTTATTTAAAAGGGGGAGCACACAACTATGGGCCCCATTGTGAACCCATTACTTACACTGGTGAGCAGTAATTCCCATAAATTGCCCCCAAGGAAGTCAGTTGGATTAGTTACATGAATAACTGCTCCCCAAAACTGAGTAGCAAGTTCATAATCTGCCCGTACCTAGTTTAATACGTGGAATGATTTTCCTTCTGTTGCAAAGTATAAGATAAAAATAGAAACTCACTGTATAAAAAGAGTACTTGATGTTCAGTTAGCAGACCTATTTGCTGTATGGCTTCCCAGCATATATGATGCTCGTTAATGGAACTAGCAATGAGGCCACCGAAGAGCATGAAGGCAAGTAGCCATCCAAATGATTCCACTTTGGAATGACACCATACATGGGAACTTTCAGTCCAAAAAAAATTTTGAGGAAGTTATGAATAGTTCAAAAAAGGGGATTGTGATAGAAGTGCCTCTTCAACATAGGTTTGACAGGTGTCCGGTTTTCAATTGGAACGCCTGATCGAAAAGGGACCCTGGCGGCTCAGGTCAGCACCACTGACCGGGCCATTAAATGTCTGGTCAGCGGCGCAGTGCGGCTAAGGCAGGCTCCCTGCCTGCCCAGGCTCCGCGCAGCTCCCGGATGCGGCCGGCATGTCCGTGCAGCCCTTAGGCACAGGGGCAATCAGGGATGTTCCAGGTGCTGCCCCCTCCCCGAGTGCTGGCTCTGCAGCTCCCATTGGCTGGGAGCCATGGCCAACAGGAGCTGCAGGGGTTGTGCCTGCAGATGCAGGCAGCACACAGAGCACCCTGGTTCCTCCGCCTAGGAGCCAGACATGCCGTCTGCTTCTGGGAGCCGTCTGAGGTAAGCACCGCCTGGCCGGAGCCTACACCCCAAACCCCCACACGCACCCCAACCCCCCGCCCCACCCCTGAGCCCCTTCCCACATTCCAAACCCCTCGGCTCCATCCCCCAGCCTGGGGCACCCTCTTGCATCCCAAATCCCTCATCCCCAGCCCTATCCCAGAGGCCCCACCCCCAGCTGGAGCCCTTTCCCCTCCCCTGCACTTTCCCCGCCCCGAGCCCCTTCCTGCACCGCAATCCTCTCATCCCCAGCCCTACCCCAGAGCCTGCACCCTCAGCTGGAATCCTCACCCCTCCCACAGCCTGGTGAAAATGAGTGAGGGTGGGAGAGAGCAAGCGAGGGAGGGAGGGGGGATGGAGTGAGTGGGATCAGGGCCTTGGAGAAGGTGTGAGGCAGGGGCAGGGCAGGAGGTGGTGTAAGAACGTTTGGTTTTCTGCAATCAGAAAGTTGGCAACCCTACTTCAACTGTTTAGCATGTACAACAATACACAAGAGTTTAGGACATTAAGTGAAGAATACTTTAACCAACACAAAGTGAAGTGGAAATGTAAGTAAAATGTAATTACCCAAGCTAGAAATTTCCCAGAACAAGTCCTATTCTTAAAGATCTCATGACACTGTTTTTTTTAAATGACTACAAATGATCAGGACCTTGATTTTATGTTTTATTTCAAGTATAAGGAACTAGTGTTTCAAAATTATTTTGGGTAAATGTGGTGATTTATCTTTACAACTGTTCTGACTTTTGTGTATTTCACCTTTTGATCTACAACGGCACTACCATCTATAGAGACGGACTGCCATTTTGTATTCAGGCCAGTGCAGACTGTCTCAGAGAACAGACATACACTATGTGCTCTCTTATAGATGTCTTACTTTTGTTCTTTCTTGGTTTTAATATGTTACTCTAAAATAAGAAGATTAAAATTGAAAGTATCCATTTGCTCTTTATGTGTGAAAGAGCATAACAATAAATATGATAGAACTGTTCCTGCCGCACACAATTTGTCATTTGAACATAACAAAGTTAATATATTTGTTACCTAATCTTCTTGCAAGTCCAAAGTCAATGAGTTTGATTCTTGCCCCAGTCTTGTTGACACACATAATGTTTTCCGGCTTCAAGTCCAAATGGACAATGCCCTGCTTATGGATGTACTGAACTCCTTCCGATATCTGCCTCATGTATTTAATACACTCTCTCTCTGTCAGTTCAAAGTCCTCATCGATGATTCGTTCAAAGAGTTCTCCTCCAGAAACACTGAAACAAAAAAACAAAAAAAGGGGTGGGGGAGGGAGATTATTGGATTATTTAAAAATATGTTTACTTATTGGTAAACTGGACACTTTCATTATACAAACAGAGATAGTTCACATTGCTAGCAGTTCCTAAAGGGTTTTGAAGGTATTTCAAGGCACAGCTTTTGTGTGGTAATGGAGATATTCATAGACACCACTTTTTAGCTGTCCTTGTGCCAGATATAGATCAGTGGATCTCAACCTTTTCCATACTGAGACCCCGTTTTCGTTACCAGTCCCAGCCCATGTAGACAGGATCTTAGCTGGGACGCCCCCAGCCCCCATTGCATTTAGCAATAACAGAAGGACAAGGTGGTTGTGACACTCTGACATCTGCTTGTGATCCCCTTGGATCAAACAAACAAACTATTAGTTGTTTTTGATACTTAGTAAATTACTCAACTTGTTCTTTGACTAATGTCCAAAGATGGGACATACTTTGTATTTATGCTGTGGGTGACACATGAACAAGGGAGGGAATGGTGAAAAAGCACCCTGGCACTTGTAAATCTCTTCTAAATGAAATATGGCAAACTCTTTATATGGCTTAATATTTGGCAACATTTACACTCACTGCCAAATGTAATTGCACATTTCAGTTACAGAAGGAAAACATAATTGAAAAGCAGCCTTTCAATGTTTATAAATTGTCAGATACATGGTAAGAAATTCTATGTCCCTCATGTATTAAATTGAAATAGAAACATCTGGAGCTCTGTACTCCTTTTGTTGCTTTAACTATAAGGTTTCAGAAAATATATAATTAGAGTAGCTACTGCAGTTTTCTACTAAAAGGTATTGGAGAATTAAACATGGAAACAATAAGGACAGCATATGCTTGACAAACTCAAATAATTACATGGATTACTATGTAAGGCTAAAACAATGGCTAGAGTTTCAGATAAACATATCTGAAATTGAAGTTTCTTGGTTCTAATAGTTTATGAGTTCAATATGTTAGCAACCAGTGCAGAGATGTTTATGAAAGCATCTGTTCTCAGAAAGTATGTGCTTTGAGCACTTTGCAGTTCCAAAATAAATATAATCCTTGTACTTTACAAGAAATGCAGAGGAGAACGCAGGCAGCTTCTTGTCAGAGACAACCATGTTATTTGAGTTAAAAGAGGATTCCCAACAAAGGACCTTATAAATTAAAAAGAAAGGACAAAAACCTTCAAGTGAAATATACTTCAGTGACTGCTTAAAACAGACCTAATGACTAATCTGAACAATTCTTTTTTTGTACTATAAATGCCATTCTTCTTGGCTCTGCCTTTGAAGAGTCTATGCCATTATCTCTAGTATATCCTTTTAGGCGTGTTACATGTCGATGTACGTGCATGCTGTTCTCAGCCCTCATTCCTCTGGCTATTCTGATAATGTCATTAAGATAAACTGTGCTTGCATTTCCTAGATTCTTGGTGTTTCATTTATTTCCTGCAGTTTATATTATACTAGAAAAGCAGAGTTGTTTCTTTTTCTGGATGTGTTTTTAAAGGTTCTTTGAGGTGATGGATTGATCAAGTGTAACTCAGGTACCATGCATTGGCAGAGGGAATATGTTTTTTCTTCATGCATTTAGAACAATAGTATAATCATCTAAGGGCTGATCAAGTCAGTGGGAGTCTTTCCATTGATTTCAACAGGCTTTGGCTCAGGCTTTCGAGAAGCATATTCTTCTGGATGTATCTCACAGCAATTGCAGTCTTTAGCCACCTGTTATTTTAAGATTGTGCCCAGAGAGACACTATGGTCATTTAAAGAATCTATTTTGGACCTTCCTTGTGTGAAATCTTATATTCACTACATTTTGACATATACCCAAGCCAAATGCATAGGCTTGCTGATTTGTGACAATTCATTCATACCAAATGAATGGGGATTCATTTGCACTTTAATAATCTCAGGTTTATTACAGTCTATGCAAACATAAATTTGCTTTATGGGGCAAGTGAAAGAATCTGAAGGCACTTACTCCTCAACTTTCACAGCAATTCACAGGGCACCGGAATGTCTACAGAGACAGGATTACTTCTATATTGGAAATCAAATTGCCTGAGATTTGCTTGTCACTGGATCTCCAAGCCAGGTAACAAACTGTTGACAAATTGGAAGGTTTTCAGAGAAAAGCAACCAAAATGATTTAAGGAACGGGAGGAATTGATTTATGAGAACCAATCAAAAGAACATAATAGCTATATCTTGGCTAAGGAAAGCGATGGTAACTATGGAGGTTTAAACCACCCAAATTATTAGCATAGGGTATACACCAAGGAGAGATAGGAATTATTCAGCATGGTACAAAGGGAAATAACCAGACACTTTGGGAAGAAATTAAAAGGAAAAATTTAGGCTGAATATCAGGAAAAACCAATCCTCCTGGTAGTGAGGATAAGATAATGGACAAAGCTTCTAATGGAAATCTTTGGAGACATGTAAAACAAGAGGGTACAAAGCACTAGACATTTTATTATAGGGAACAATCCTGCACTGGAATTTTGGGGGATCGACTCAGAGACCTAATATATAAAATCTCTGCAAACACAAGACACACACACACACGGTAAGTTCTTCCAGTCTGGTTGGTTTCAAGTGGCTGGATTCTGGCTGTATGGCAAGTGGGTCAGATTGTCACTATTATTTCTAAATTCAATGTAAATGGCTTTCAGTCTTCAATCATATTCATATAGAAACAAACTATCTTCTTGGATGTACAATATCAATGGGAATGGCATACAAAAACAGAATTTGGCTCTACACTTGATCAGGTTTTTTAGAAGAGCTCATGTCACAGGGTGACCCCCTTGAAATGAAACAGGTCCAGCGCCCCTGTGGTAGAACAGGTGCTCCCAGTTTGGCCAATTAAGAGGTCATGGCAGCACCTGGGGCTATGAAGATCCAGGTTTTCAGTAAGCAAGGGGGATCAGGAGTAGCAGGGAGTCCCCTGAGAGAGGTAGCAGTAGGAACCTGCTGGGGAAAAAGGGTCTCCAGGGAGAAAGTGCTGGGAGGTGGTACTCAGCAAAACGGGCAAGGAAGAATCCTGCAGGATGCTCTGATGGAGGAGTGATAGAGAAGCAAAGTGGAAAATCCCCTGGGAGCAGTAGCCCAGGGTGGGCTGAGGAAAATTGCCTGGAATGAGACTCTGGGACTGGCAATGGACCTTTGTGTGCTTATAGGTTATCTCCCATCAAGCCACTGCAATTACGGTTCCAAAAGTGTTCAATATGTAGCAGCTCCTATAGAGAACAATGGGAGCTGCTAAATGCTGAGCACTATTGAAAATCTGGCCACTTCGTTGGAGTGGACAAATGGGAAATGAACCCTTTTGAAAATCTGGCTACCTTTTTATATCCCAATGAGAAGAATAGGAACTGCTTGGCTGTTGAGATCTTCTAAAACTCTGGCTCGTAAACTCTGATGTGGAAAATAATAAACTAGCTTAAAACCTAAAATCATGCCTAAACACAGACTACAATAACTAAACTCTGTGGTATTTAAATGCATCTTATCTTTTAAAATAGCGGGTGGTTTGGTGGAGGGGAAAATTAATGTTGTGTAGAGACACAGGCTATCCAGAACCCTTTATACATTTGCCTCTGTTTTCCATGAGGCCTGCCAGCTCCCAATTCCAAACTAAGTCGGACTTTTTCTCCTCCAACCATCACTAACTTGCTCAAGTTTTAAATCCAAAAATAAATGCACCATCTTATATTTAAGCACCCATGTTGCATAACAAGGATTCAATCTCTGAAATATGCTTGTGCAAACAATAGCTTTCACATGGTCTGAACATGCAGTAACTAAGACAAGAAGAGGTACGGTCTCTTTGCTTAAAGCAAGCTGTATTTTGCTAGGAAGATCAAGCCAGCAATAAAATTTCCTTGCTTTCCCTTTTTACGCACCACACTGGGAAGCAGCTGTGCTGGACCACAGCAATTGACCTATCCTTTTGGGAAAAACATCAACAGAGATCAAGAGTTGATTTTCTTTCCTGCTGCTGCTGCTACAAATATGGCGTTCACATTAATCAGGTGCACCGATAAATTATGCAACGGTCATTTTGGTCATGCATGCTCCCATTGCTTGTGGAGTCTGAACATTCCATTCCAAGCTGCATTGTATTATACAGATTCCCGTCTCGAAAGAAGTTCCAGCACAGGGACACCTTCTGAGCCCTGTCTTCTGCAAAAGTGAAAGAATATGGACTATGATCTACATACTAACTATGGTGGCTGATGGCAAGATAGATTAAATAGCTATCACATAGTTATAACACCATCATATTGCTCTGTACTGTGATTCTTATGTTGCTTGTCTACCACTTTCAGTGATGGTGTGGGCTGGGAGCACAAAGTGAACAGTGTATATAGGCCTGGTGAGGGTGGGAAGATGGGGCACCATTGCTTTGTTCAACAACCAGGAATCAGCATAGATGGTCTTTGAATGTGGTCCTGATTAGCTGTCCGTGGAGTGAAGGATGGTAGCTTTGATGCAGGGACTTGAGAGTCGTGGGGTGGAAGTTAGGGAAACTAAACAGGCATCATCAGTCCCTTCTTTAATTGCTAAGTCTGGGCCATGAGTTAGGAAGTGACATTAGAGGCAGCTCAGGTTGTTTTGAGCCAGTCTGGGTGCTAGACAGCCAGGAAGACCTATACGATCTTGTCTGCATACATTAAACTCACTTTAGAATTGTGTCTCTATTTATCATCTGTCTAGATTTTTCTATAGGTACTACTGTGATGGTTGCGACAAGTTAAATAAACAAGTTTTGTATCTTCTCTGCCAAGGAGACCCACAAGGCTCTCTTAAGGGTGCAGACAGAGGACCTCACCTTCGACAAAAAATAAATTTTCCTTCTAACAATGGTTGAATACTGTAGTTCATTTTTTTGCTCCTCTAACAGACATGACTATAAATGTGCTGAGTAGAATTTTTCATAAAAGTTCAACTATTCTGTTAGAATTTGGCTTTGGTGTTTGCATTCTGAATCACATCTTTCTTGTCTATAATTTATTGATTTATTCTCCACAGCCATTCCATCATCCATGAAAAATGACTGACCAGTATTTAAATAAAGAATTGGTAGTACTTTATCTAATGCATGTTTAGAGATTGCCAAACCAAATAAATAGTAACAATCTCATCCCCAACCCTTTTCTCATTTTTAGAACCAATCTGGATCTGAAGATTCTGAAATACTTGGTTAAATTTTTCTCTCCAATTGTTATTTTTGATTTTCACATTCCTCTATGTTTCCACATTCCATCTGGAAGCAGAGAGAAGAAACACCAGAAAAGTACCCTTCCTTCAATATTACCAACTGAACCCGATACAGGATGCAACAGAAATCTCATGACTGTGCTCACAAAATTTTTAGCCAGATTGTGTTGAAATCAATGGAGATACATTAGGAATAATTTGGCCAAAGATGCTTAAACATCTTTGATAAACACTTAGACAAAATTTGGATAATTTATGTGACCAGAACAAAAAATCTGGCCTTTTTTAAGAGTCACTCATCACTAGATAATATTTTATACAAAAAGGACAAGTTATTTTTAATAATCTGTCAGGGTATCAGGAAATCTTCACATGCTGGGCACCAATAAACTAAAATGTGCTCTTAAGGGTTATACTCACATTTCCAAGACCATGACGATGTTGGCTTTTTCTTCAAAGGCATCTACACACTGGACAAGTTTTGGATGATGTAGACAGTTCATGATGCCGATTTCCTGCCTTATATTTTCTTTATCCTTAGCTGAATATGCTTTGAAAAATTTTCCTGCCCAAACTTTTCCAGTTTTCTTCTCAACAAGTTTAAAGACTTGTCCAAATTTCCCCCTGAAAATATATAACTATTTCCATGAAATGGTTTTAATATTTTATGGCCTAATAAGACTAAAAACAAAACTTAACTAAAAACTTTTTCAGAGTGGTTAACTCAAATCTTGCACTGAAAATACATGATCACACCATTAGTCCAAGTGCTGTTCAAGACTGAACTGGGCATACTAATTTGCAAAATCATCTTGACGAACATTACATTCAAAAGGCGAGATCTTCACATAGTGTATATGGCTGTGGCTCTGTTAAAGTCAAGGGAGCTATGCTGATCTGAAAGAGCTGAGTATCTGCCCAGAAGGCTCAATTCTGACCTTAGCTAGACTGGTGTGTATCACCAGTCACAATAAAAAAAATAAGCACCTGTGCCTGTAGACACTGATACTACAAGCTAAACACCTATACACACTCATGTATCTAAAATCCTATGGCAGTCCAATGCTCCCTAATTAGAGAGAGTCTTCACCCTCTGATGCACATTACTCCCATTAGCATCCATTACAGTTACACATACATGTATAGAAAGAATGGACTTCTAGGGCAGCGGGGCAGAGGTTGTGCTCTCTCCCTGCCCGAAGTGGGGGCTGGCCCAGGTCCTGCATCGCCTGGCATCGCCACTCGTCCCCCACGAATGTTCCTCCGTGCCCCCCCAGTGGGGCATGTCTCACAGTTTGAAAACCTCTGTTCTACGGGCTCCAGCATTACTTCAGGCTACAATTGCTAATGTGAGCTTACTTACAATTCCACCTTAACCATAACCCTTACAAGTGGAAAACACAACAAGAGATGGCTAGTTTTGTTACAGAGAAGAATATACTGAGGTAGAACCTTACGGCCTTGATTGCCAACAGCAAAACAAGTCCTTCCATGTGTGCCCTGTCATACGATTTGGACACCCACAAGCCTGAGTACTGACACATACAGCCAACTTAATAATTGACCTTTAATGAGCAATACTATTAATGCTTTTGCTTTGGGGATTACGACCACTGTCAACAGAGAATCTACCCTACCACCAGGGAGTAGGGTTTCATCTCATTGGCACCAATGGATATAATGGAGCTGTAAGTGCACAGTGGGTTTCTGCCTTCCAGATAGATTTCAGAGCAGAGAATAAAAAACGAATCATCTAGCATTTATGGGCTTCATTCTCCTCACCAGAAGCACATGTGATGCCTATTTTGAAGTGTCAATTAATGGGAATGAAGAGCTTTTATGGAGATAAAACCAGACTCCTTTAGAATCTATTTTTTTACTGCACACAAGCAGCCCAGCTAGAAGGCTAAGAAGGTAACGTCCCATATCATACATGTTTAAGAATGCATCCTCCTAGCTCTTTATAGCCTTAGGAACACAGCATTCCAAGGGCTGAAACAAGAAACCTAATGGTCTACTTACGATCCCAATCTTTCTTCAATATTGTAGAACTCCGCAACTTTTTGTTCTGTATTTATAGTAACTGTCCGATAGTCGACATCTGTTTCTTTCTCTTCTATAAGTGAGGATTAAGAACTGTTATTAAAAAAAAATCATACTACATGTATTAAAGATGTAGAGATTCATTTTCTCTGATGAAATTATGAACTTCTTACCATCATCGGATAGCTCAGCTTCATCTTTAGGTTCTATAAAAAAGTGTGGGGGCAGGGGGAGAGAAGAAAGATAAATTGAGATGATTAACTCCTGTCTGCATAGGATGTATATGCTTAGAGAAGGCTATCTTAGTCCTTGAATTAAGATCTTTTGGGTAAACAGTTAATGTGATGGTTAGGGACCAAAAGGCAGCCAGCTAACAGGGTTTGCATACTAAATATAAAGTAAAAATCTGTTCAATCTCAATGTACTAAATTTAAATCTGGTAGCAGAAGCCAGGCACTTCTGTTGTCATCAGTGTAGAATATCCTTTGAAGAGAAAGCAGCTGGTTTATATGTCTACTAGGCACATAAAATGTAAGGAATCGGATCACTGGATTATTTAATAGGCTGCCATCAGAATGCTTCAGAGGAAGGGAAAAATAAAACAATTAAAATTATTAAGCCCATAAAGCTCCTAACTGTACAATGCCTGTGTATAGGGAAAATACATTTCTTACTCTCACATCCAAACCTGAAAGTGTAAAAAAACAAAGCAAAAACCTCTGAGAAAGGCTGTTCTTTGAAGCTGTCCTGCCAATTTTGCAAACCTAGAGCTTTGGATAGTTCAGATAAGCACCCACATTTATTGGTGCTTATCTGAAATGAATTGCCTAGTCATTTAGGCCCAACTGTTTCAATAAAACCTCAATTCCAAATGTTCAACTGTTTGCAGGCACAAATCCTTACAAATAAAGTAACACAACTGAAGTCAGCTGAAGATTCTCACGTGGGGGAATCCTCCAGTGGTGATGAGTCAGCATAACTGGCCCTGTGTCATTCTCTATTTTGCAGTGGGGGTGATCAAGGAAAACGGGGTGGAGCCATAAAGCTGAGGTGCTTCAGCAATCCGTGACAGCCATAATGGCTGTTGGGGTTGGAGGGCGGGTGTTAGAGTCAGCAAAATTTAGAGCTGCTCTAAGTTACTGCTTGAAATTGCTCCTCAGGACTATGCTGGTTCTCAGTGGCCTGAGGATCAGTGAGTTGCAATGTTTCACAACTACCAAGGCAGCTCCCCCTCCAAACTGCTGGACCTGATTATCTGACTCTGCCACTGAGTTTGTGCACTCCTAACCATGTGACTTAACCTCTTTGTGCCAATGGATTTACACTATTTATACAGAGCCCCAATACATTCTAGGTTCTTTACAATTAAAGCTAGACTCAGTGCCTGGTAATAAAATAGTAGGGATGGGCGAAGGAAGGAGGGCAAGGTACACAGTAATAAGATTATACAGTTATGTTACATAGACATCTTTATGTGACAATAGAGATGAATTTGACCCCCTCAACACCCAATAGATGGTGATGAGTCTGCAAACTGGTAGCCAGACAAGTTGAGTGGACTTAGCCAATCAACAGAAACCCCATCACCCCCTCTCCCTGCTGTGTTTGTGATATTTACATACCTGCAGCAGAGACAGACTGGTCTGCACTCTGCCACTGTAGCAGGGAAGCAAGGGAAGATTGCCCTCCCCCACTCTGTGGGAGCTGTGCTCAGATTTTCTGCTATGGAAATCACAATTACATTGAGCAGGTCACATTTTCCTCCCCTTTTAAGGGCTGCATGAAGGAGCAGATCCCGTCCTCTTTGCCAATAACTGCGTCTGCCAAATGTCCCAAGGCTAGACTTGCTGTATACGCAACATGCACATCACTGCATCAAAGACTTGGACAAATAAGACTTGTGGTCCACGGGTGGAAGTCCTAAATTAGTAAAAAGGTACATCTCCCCCATGGTTGAACTCAGTGAAGCTAAGCTAATGTCTTCTTCAGCTGGAAACCAGTGTTACCAACTGAACACCAAAGCTGGCCATGCATACTTTGCTTCTTTATGACTTATTATATTACTTTAACAATGTTGATTCTGGACTGATGGTGAATATATGGCAACCTGCTCATTTCACTCTCATAATAATAATACTTTGCACTGCTAAAGCACTTTCCATTGGAGGATCTCCAAGTGCTTCACCAACACCATGGGACCTCAACATCTCTGTGAGGGAGGCATTATGCCTCTTTTTAGAGATGGGCAAACTGAGGCTAAAGTTATGTCTTCACACCCAAAAAGCTGTGTTTTTACAGTGAGATTATTAATGTGCATTAGCCATCTCACTCTAAAATCCTAGTGGAGACAAGGCTCTGTAGTTTTTACCGGAACACATCCAGGCAAGATCAACTAGGTGGATGGTATAGTATTTGCCACACCCTAGTTACAATGCAGTAAAAACTATCAGTATCTTGTCTCCTCTAGTATTCTACAGTGAGATAACTAATGAATGTTAATTATCTCATGTAAACCTCCGACACACATCTTTTTGGGCAATGAAGGCATAGCCTTAGTTACTTGGCCAGGAATTTACAGTGATGAGAACGTAAGAAGTCCTGATTTTCAGGTGTGTTGAACACCCGCATTTCCCACTGACTTCCATTGGAATTGTTTGGGTTCAGTATTACTGAAAATTAGGCCTTAAGTAATTTGTGCAAGTCAGTTGTAGCGTCACATACAGAACCCTGGAGTCCTGGCTTCCAGTCTCCTGCTGAAATCACTAATCTACACTGTCTCCCTGATACAAGGAGTTATCTTTGTACAGTGGGTTCTTTACTCAACCCATCTTATTGTTATCATTTGTTATTTGTATTGCAGTACTTGCTAGGTGCTCCAGCCCCATTGTGCTAGGGATTGTAAAGACATAACAAAATCTTCTCTCTTCAATTAAAAAAAATATGTTGTTTCCACCCATCACAACCAGTGATAACTTTTGGAAATACAAAAGCAAAGGAACAGTCTGACAGTTTCCAAACCTAAGTGTGTTCTTCCAGCAAGCAAAGAGAGGAGGCATTCCAACACAGGGAATTTTTGTTATCAACAGCCAGCACTGTCCAGCTTTTACACAAATTTATGGTCACTCTTACTACATTCTTCCCTTGGAGAGAAAATTGATCCTTGATTTATATCAACCTTTCAGATTTTCTTTTAAATAATGAGAGAAAGTAAATTCATGCATATAGCGCCAATTTAGCTGCTCAAGCAAGAGAACAAATTACTTCTGCATGGAAATATTTGCCAAAAAGCTGTGGAAGGTCTTACAGTGCTGCACCACTGTGCTGTTATTTTGACCCCATCTCTCACTAAAAGATAATATTACAAACTCTCTATGACTTTATTTGAACCAGGTAAGAACACAAAGCACTGCATATATAATGTACTTCAAAACAGGAAGAGAGAAGTGAAACACATAATCCAAATCCCAAAAACAGGCAGTAGGAAATACGGAAAAATAATTTGTTCTCCTTTATTTTCCAATTCTGGACTTTTCAGTGCCCTGCAAGCACCTAAAAGAGGTCCTCCATATTTTACACTATGTGTGTGCATACAATGCTTGTTTCTGAGTTTTTCTGTTTTTTGAACATATGGCTCTTGTTCAGTGTAAGTGTCAGGATGCTTCAGTTCTTCTCTTTGAAACTTCTCTGCTGATAAATGGTCAAGGAAAAAAAGTTGAATGGTGGCGGAAAATATCCCCAAGAGCACATAAAACAGGAGTAAAATATTCTAGAATGGTAACTGGCTCAAAAATTCTTTAAAAAATTGGCTACTCATATAAGGTGCCAGTTTGACAGCACAGCGCTGGAGACTGAAGTCTTCTGGCTGCTGATCAGGCACCTCATGGGCAACTGTGGCACAAAATCTCCCACGCTGACTCACTAACATGCTTTGGATCTGAAGTCTCTAGGTATGAGAGGTTAATCTAGCTTCCTTGCCCTTAGCTTCTCCACTGAGGCTGCCAACAAATGTACCAGCTGGTGTTAATTGTGGTGATGTTTTTGGTGATGTTTCCATTACAAAGTAGACAGAGGCCACCGATTCATTTTCCAAAAGTCACTAACCAGCATTCTCAAATAGAATTAAATCTGAACCCATAACTCTTGGGTGAAACGTTCCATATCTCACTACAAGTATCCTGAGCTACAGAAACTTGTTAACAAATGGTTGCAGAGTAACAGCCGTGTTAGTCTGTATTCGCAAAAAGAAAAGGAGTACTTGTGGCACCTTAGAGACGAATAAATTGGTTAGTCTCTAGGTGCCACAAGTACTCCTTTTCTTTTTGTTAACAAATATAGATAAACATACATAAACAAATGCAGTTGACACAAAATTCATTGCATTCATAAAACAGACAGAAAAATATTGGCCCAGATTTTCCAAGTTAGGAAGACACAAAAATTGATCTGCTCAGATATTCAATGGAAGCATAAAAATGCCTCACATCAAGCATGAGCAGTCATATTTCAGGAATTGACACTCATAAATCACCAGTATGCAAATGTATATTGGCAATTGGCTGTACCTACCTTGAAAAATCCTGGGCCATTATCTAATAGAGTTTAATCATTTTTCTCAGTAAGGACTAACCTTCTTGTTTCTCTCCTACTTTTACCAGTTCTGATTCTTGGCTGGGCTCACTTATGCCATACACGTTAGCAGCTCGCACCCGGAATTTGTACTCCCTGTCAGCCAGCAGGGACTTGACATTGTAAGAAGTGCTACGGCAAGTAGTAAGATCTGTCCATTTGTTATCCACTGAGTTCCAGGTTTCCACAGTGTAGGACTGCACAGCGCTTCCGCCATCGTAAGAAGAGCCATACCAAGAGAGAGTGAGGGAAGAACTTTGTATGTCCGAGGCACAGGGTTTTCCGGCTGGGGGATCAGGTTTATCTGCAAATGGGGACACACATGCAAAAATACATTAGATCAAACAAATTAATTCTGCTACCTACTCCCTCATTCATTGTTATTTCCCCACCTGATCCACAGAGCCCACTCATCCTCAATTTTGACCTCTTTTGTTTTGTAATTGTTACAGCTAGTTAGATCTATGCTATACATTTGATAGATTGTTTATTAAAGTTAGTGTTGGTAACTCTCACAATTTTATTGACAGTCTCAGAATGTTTTGTGCTTCCTTAAAGCTCCTGCTCCTGGAGTCATGCCACTAAAGAAGCAAGTTTATATGGTTGCAGAGAAAAAACTTGAAAACGTGTGTACCTAAAAGGCTCAAAAACCAGAAGGCAAGTAAAAAGAATTATGATTTTATCTCAGAGTGGCATTGTGAGGAGTTTTACAGATGGGGAACTGGGCACAGAGGGAATAATTAACCTGCCCAGGGTCACACAAGAAGTCTGTAACAGAGGAGGGAATTGAACTAGGGTCTCTTGAGTTCCAATCTAGCACCCTAATCACAAGACCATCCTTCCTGCCTAGATTTGTAGGCTAAGCTACAAAGAAGCAATAAGGCTTGATTCAACGTACACTGAACTCAGTAGAAAGCCTCCCATTCATTTCAATGGACATTGAATCAGGCCTATAAGTAGCATCCCCCACCAGTAATGAAAAATTGTAAAGTTTCAACAACAGAGATTTTTTTTTCAACATGCAGAGTTTAAATATCCTCTTCTGATTTTTTAAAAAACTTCCCTGAAAAAATTCTACCATGGGTTGGGATAGGATGTGTGCAAATAGGCTTATATAATAGGCTTTTTAAACTTCAACCTTAAGCATGGAGCAACTGTTTCTCAATTAGGGGCTCACTCCTTCGGCTCTTAGTTGCATAAATAAAGCCTGCATGATGGCTTTGGACGATAGGATTAAAATTCAAAATGATTTGGACAAACTGGAGAAATGGTCTGAAGTAAATAGGATGAAATTCAGTAAGGATAAATGCAAAGTACTCCTAAAGGAGCAATCAGTTGCACACCTACAAAATGGGAAATGACTGCCTAGGAAGTTAGTCTCTAAGGTGCCACAAGTACTCCTTTTCTTTTTGCCTAGGAAGGAGTACTGTGGAAAGGGATCTGGGGTTCATAGTGGACCATAAGCTAAATATGAGTCAACAGTGTAACACTGTTGCAAAAAAGGAAACATCATTCTGGGATGTATTAGAAGGAGCGTTGTAAGCAAGACACGAGAAATAATTCTTCCACTTTACTCCACGCTGATTAGGCCTCAACTGGAGTATTGTGTCCAGTTCTGGGTGCCACATTTCAGGAAAGACATGGATGAATTGGAGAAAGTCCAGAGAAGAAGAACAAAAATGATGAAAGGTCTAGAAAACATGACCTATGAGGGAAGATTGAAAAAAACTGTGTTTTCTTAGTCTGGAGAAGAGAAGACTGAGAGGGGACATGATAGCAGTTTTCAAGTAAATGAAAGGTTGTTACAAGGAGGAGGAAGAAAAATTGTTCTTGTTAACCTCTGAGGATAGGATAAGAAGCAATGGGCTTAAATTGCAGCAAAGGCGATTTAGGTTGGTCATTAGGAATAACTTTGTAACTGTCAGGGGGGTTAAGCACTGGAATAAATTGCCTAGGGAGGTTCTGGCATCTCCATCATTGGAGCTTTTTAAGAGCGGGTTAGACAAACACCTGTCAAGGATGGTCTAGATAATACTTAGTCCTGCCGCAAGTGCAGGGGCCTGGACTAGATGACCTCCCTTCCAGTCCTACGATTCTATGTGCCATTTGGGTGCTGCTCTGGTTAATGACACAAAGAAGCCTCTCATTTTTCCTGTCTCTTTCAAAATTAAATGTAATGGTTAACTCAGAAGTTAAGTAGATAAATGCTTTTCTGAGATGGAAAGATGCTGACACTTTTGTTTTAAAATTGCTTATTAAAAAGAATTATGATAAATTCTTCAGAAAACCTGAAAGAATGCAGAATATCTTGTGCTGGAGTAATCCTCTCAGGACTGCTCTTAAAAGTAAAATCTACAAGATAATGATGATGATGATCTGGATGAATTAATGGCCAAAGGTTGATTGGTAACATCAGGAAAAGAGAATAAGTGCTGGGGGAGGTGAAAGGGAATAGGTGGAAAAAGACATTCTGTGGCGACGCAGATGTCTATGTAAGATATACATTGGTACAACAGGCGAGTATGTGTGAGGTGCTGTATAAACACATAGTAAGACACTGTCCGCACCCTGTAGATCTTATAATCTAAATAGACAAGACGGACAAAGCGGGGGATCATCATTCCCATTTTATAGGTGGGAAACGTAGGCACAGAGTCACTTGTCTAAGTTCACACAAGAGGTCAGTGGCAGAGAGAAAAATTGACCCTCTATCTACTGAGTCCTAAGCCAGTGCCTTAACTTCGAGACCCATCATTCAGCATCAGGGTACAAGATGATGCAAGGTAAAACACACTCTTCCCCCCTATTTCTTCCTTTCGATTCCGCATTTTACAGCTCCCAACCCAAGCTCACGGCTCTCACGCAACTGTTACATAACCACTATAACATTTTTTTTTTTTAAAGATATCACAGAACTATGCCTAAGTCAACCACGGCAATACTGGACCAAAGGGACAATCACAAATACTTTACGTTGCTTGTTTCTGTGGGTTGCTTTCTCTCTGTAAACTGCCACCACCATTCTGCTCCCCTCAGAGTATAAATTACACCAATGTACACCCACTTACCCGTGGGTAAATTACACAGTTTACAGTAACTTGACAGGTAACGGACACCACCATTTACATGCAGCATTATTGTAGCTGTGTCGGTCCCAAGATATTAGAGAGACAAGGTGGGTGAGAGAGAGAAGAAGAGCTCTCTGTACACCTGAAAACTTGTCTCTCTCACCACACAGGAATGGGGGCAGAGAGGAACGACTTTGGCTATTTTTGTCTCTAGCTCAAAAAGAGAGAGAAGCAACCAGTGTTGCCAGCTCTCACAATTTTGTCATGAGTCTCATGATAATTATTGTTTTCCTTAAAGCCCCTGCTCCTAGAGTCAAGTGGATATATGATGATTTCAGCCTTCATTCTTAAAGAAAAAAAGTAACTTTCTAGCCCTTGTGGCTGTGGAGAAAGCTTCAAAATGTGATCCCAGGGTACCCTAAAGGCTCAAAAAGTGGACGGTAAATAAAAAGAACACCAAATCTATTGTTTTTACATAATCTCATGATTTTAGAGCCACTCTCGTGATTTTTGGTGAGCCTTACTCATGATTTTTGAACACTTGGGGTTGGCAATACTGAGCAACCCAGCATGTAGGGTTCTGCATCAGGCAGGGACACTGCCTGCTCCTGAGCCTATATGGCCCCAAGAACTCCCAAGGGAAAGGGTTAGGCTGCTCAAGGGCAAAGCTGACCAAGGGGGAAGAAGGCTCCATTTTGCAGCTCACATGTCACACACTGAAGGAGGACAACTCTGGACAATCCAAGGGGCTCTGACCCCAGCCCAAAGAATGCCCTGGAGTGACAAGGAAACTAAGGCAGGGACATGGGTTTAGTGTTTTCTGATGAGAAGTACACTCCTGTGCTTTATATAATTAAGTAAAAGAGCAATAATGTGCTAGTCTCTGGGAACAGTGTCTGACTGTGATCTTCATAAATATTGCATGCCTCCAGGGAAAGTGAAACCTTCATAGTGGAGTTCTGGGAGAGTAAGTGTTTAAGTATGGGGGAATCTGAAGGCTTAGCACTGTGCCCAGGGGGGCCAGGCAGCTGGACAGTGGGTTTCAGCTCTCAGAAGGAGGTGCGAGACAGAAGTTCTTCACCCAGAGAGTGTGCTTAGGGACCCCAAGATTCAGGCACTGGCTGGATTCCATTCAGGTTCTGGAAGCGTAAAACACCTGTGTATCCAGGGACTCAGAGGCTTTGATTCCCCTCACATCAGTCTTGTGGGTGGCTGGAAAGAGGCACCCAGCCAGATCTGTGACATCCCCTAGTGCTGCAGAGGGATGACAGTGTAAAGGAAAAATGGATAGTTTGATCAAATTATATTAGTTCCGTATTAGTGCTAAATATTCAGTTCTTTGATTGAAACAGGGACAATTTTCTCTTCGTTGAATACCCATTACTTTTGTGCTTTGACTGGTTTAACTTATAAACCACCTTTTACTTTTTTGATTTTTATAATTTTGAGTTCACCAATAAAAAAAAAAAAGAGTTTTCCTCAAAATGGAATGTAAAGGGTTATAACTTTTAATGGGGATAAAGAATTTTCAGATGCACTCACCATGAGAGTATCTAGCAAGGAGATAAAGAGACTTCATAATTTAGGTTATCTGTACTCATTTCTTGGCAACACTTAAAACACCATTCCACTAGGAGTCATCATTATACAGCAGACCTCTAATTAAACCCCAAAATATCAGAAACCAGATGCAATTTTGACCTTAACCTCCAGAATGGCTTATTGCCCTTCTTCATTGTTAAAGATTCAGGGCCTGATCCTCTGGTAGCATAAAGGGGCCTTAAAGAGGGCAAAAATTCAATTTACATCCACTTTTAGACCTCTTTATACAGCTAGACTGGTGTAAAACTGCCTTCATGTAAACAAGAATCTGCAGTGGGACTCTTTACAGGTCCAATCTGCCATTTCAGGGTACTTTTTCCAAGGCACTGATGGTATTATTATAATTTATTATTTCTATTATGGTAATACCTATAGTTATCTACAGAGATCAGGACCCCTTTGGGCTAGGCACTGCACAAACACACAGTAATGGCCAAGCCCTACTCAGAAGAGTTTACTATCTAAATAAATAAGACAGACAAAGGGAGTGAGAAAGGAACTATTATCATTCCCAATTTACAGATGGGGAACCAAGGCAGAGAGAGATAAAGTGACTTGTCCAGCTTCAGACAGAAAGACCTTGAATCCAGACCTCCTGAGTCCCAGTCCAGTGGCTTAAGTACAAGACCATCCT